TGCAGGTTCTGGATTCTCTTCTCAGCCTCCTCTCTCTTTGAGGTCAGTTTCTGAAGAATATTTCTCAGTTTCTCCTTCTTCTTCCCAGAGGCCTCATTCACAGTCTCCACCTGGTGTCCCCTGTGCTCTCCGGCCAGACTGCAGGACACACAGATACAGGCAGCATACTCAGAGCAGTAATACTCCAGGACCTTCTTGTGGATGTAGCATTTCCTCTTCTCCAGTGAAGTAGTGGGTTCAGTTAGGACATATCCTTCTGACTTGCTGTGGACCCTCAGGTGGGCTTCACACAGAGAAACTTCACATAACAAACATGTTTGATCAACAGGTACAGGAGAGTGAATACAGTAAGTACAGGGGATCCCAACCTCCTCCTGTCCTGGGTGAATAGATAAGAAACTCTCCACCATGTTACACAGTCTTAGAGCTCTTTGCAGGTTTGGTCTTACCCTAAACCTGTGTCTACATTCAGGACAGGAATATTCTCTGTCCTCCTGGTTGTCCCATGTTCTTGTGATACAGACCCAGCAGAAGCTATGTCCACATGACAGGGTTACAGGATCAATATAAATGTCCATACAGATAGAGCAGGTCAGCTCGTCTCTCAGATCAGCAGATGCCATCACTGAAAGCAGGAACAAGAAACGAAACTTAATGTTTGTCATTTCTCAGAAATCAGTGGGACGGGTTTTACCACATTCCATACTCAATGTTGAGAGTGTATAAACTGTAACTAATTGTTATTCCTTATTGTAAGTTTATTTTCTAGATAGTAACTTGTTAAAGTGACAGAAACGGCTGCAGGTAAACTAACCGTCAAGGAAAATCAATTAACGTGTAATAAATACTTTCCCTTTGGGAATATAAAAAACAGCTTTGACTATTTGTCTTTGAAGCTACAGAGAATCTCTTACTGCTCCTGCTACAGGCTGTCAGGTTCTAAATCAGCCGATATATTATTATAGGTTGTACTTTATTGACATTATCTTATTACTAGAGATGAACTGGATACCGCACTAACCAGGTAACATAGGTGCTCTGTAACCAAGGCTAGCCAGGCCTCCCATCCAAAATATGCAGAATAAATAACAGTTCAGGCACTCCGGGATAACAAAGAATTGCAGCTTTATTGGTGCAAAAACAACAACGTTTCGACCCTAGCATAGCTTGATAAAGACCCTGTAGGGTCGAAATGTTGCTGTTTTTGCACCAATCAAGCTGCAATTTTTGTTATCCTGGAGTACCTGGACCGTTATTTATTCTGCATTGTCGTATTACATACCTTATATATTACCAGGTGTGACAGATCCCTCTGTCCTAGACTGAATCAACCGTATGGCTTGTTCACTTAGTTAATTCGTTTTTCTCGTTCCTGTGGACTCTATGGCATTCCCCTGTTTATGACCGAACAAAACTACCGAACGGCCGGCCACCCAGTAGAGGAGTGTGCTGCTGATTAACCTCTTTGCCCCATTCGAACGTTGAGGATTAACCGCAGACACCTCGTAATTGATACAGCAGTTGGGTGGCCGCCATTCGAATGCCGAACACGAGGTCGCGGCCATTTTAAAACACACGAACGCAAAGCAGTGTTCGACGCCTAACTCATGGAACTAAAATCGGACACATTTTGGCACGAGCACCGCTGAAGCCGCCAACCTCCCTTCTTGTTCAGTAGAGTGACACGAATGACCCTATATTCGGTGGATTTAAACAGAATACACCGTACCCCAGATAGGAATCCCGTGGAGCCCATTCGTATGAAAACTGACTGTGTGAACACTTTGGCTCCACGGCGATTGGACTGTGTGTATAGAATCTGAGCGCTATTCAGTACTTTGGTGCGCTCAGATCCTAGCTATCTGGGGACCTGTGGAATGCCTATAAAATCTTGTAAAATGCAGCAGTTATGTAATTTTACACAATACAGGGAGCAGTAACTGTTCCATGATATTATACACACAGACCTGTATTATACAGAGAATGCAAGGATTCATGACTACTGTAAATGGGCAGCTTATACCTGAAATAGTCTAGTTAAACGTTAGCTTAAAAAAGAACCTGTTGCTGACCATCAATGAGATAACCTTTTTGACCTCGCTACCAGAAATACATGTTGTTGGTTGCTGAATAAGCAATATTGTGTTTAGCTGATGTGATCTTGTAATGTTACTTTTGCTGTAACTTCTGTCTATAAATATGTTTGCCTGACCCTTAATACAGTGGTAGTAGCCCAATTTGAAACATGTTGTCTGTGTATCACTGAAAGGCTCTCCCCGAACGTTCGGTCCAATAGTGAGGTGCATGGAACGCTTTGCCCAGCAGTGTATTATGACCCCAACAATTTGGTGGCAGCGGGTGGGCTCTAACCAGACAGTGAGTAGATATTTTTAAAATTCGCTGTGGATTAAGGTAAATAGCATATTTAGTGTATTTGGGATTTTAAGGTGTGATTAAGTTCACGCCGGTGGTCGGTGTGGGTTAAAGTCCCTCAACTACCAAGGAAAGGGTTTACAGTCCCTTACAGAGGCGTCAGTAACAGTTAATTGTTTCTTAACTGGCATAAGGTAAATTGTAAAATCCTTGCAAAATCCTTGTAAGAGTCCATGCACCCACTGGAGGACATTAGGTATTATTAAGGTATAAGTGATAAGCTTCATTTTTGCAGTTTTTACAGTGTTAGGTTTCCATTTCATATTTTGTAGTGGTATAAGTTTTGTGATCATGGACAGGAGAATAGCAAGGGTTACTTAATTACCTGTACCTGCCTGGCCTTTTGGACACTCAAAACTGACCAGGCATTTGAAGGGTAAGCCAGCCCATTATCACTTGGCAATAGATTAAAAACGTTGAGTACTAAAAAGGTGCAGAAGGGTACAGGGAAAAGCTAGTGCTGTGTGTCCTGGTAAACAATGTGTATATGGTTTATGCTTTGGCTAACATCATTTGAGAAGAATTTTGTTTGGTGTACATGCAATATGAGAAGCAAGCCATAAACTGAAAAAAGTGTCCACCATCTCTCAAAGGGAGCTGCAGTAGTGGGCAGGCCCGGACTGGCCATCAGGCATACCGGGCAAATGCCTGCAGGGCCCTCACTCCCCAGCCGGCTCACCGGCCCACAGGCACTAATATGCGGCAGCCGGCTGGGGAGTGAGGGAGGGAGAGAGGCCCCGTGAAGCTTTAGCCAGCATCTCCGCCTGGTTCACTCTCGCGAGGTCTGAGCGTTGCCACGGTTACCACACCAACGCGCAGATCTCGCAAGAGTGAACTCTAGCCCTGCAGGCTAGAGTTCACTCTCACCACTGAGACCACCACGGATGGCAGCATGGCTCCCGCCCTCCCAGGCTAAAGGTAAGAAGGGAGGGGGGGATATAACTTTTTTTTATTAATAAAAAATATATATAAATTTAGATAAAATTTATTCTCACACACACAATCTCCTATACACACACTACATTTCTGACATACAAACTCTTTGGATCCCCTATGCACACACTACATTCCTTGTAAGCAAACACACACAACATTCTCTAAACACACCCTCTCTACAACCCCTACACACACTACAGCCCGTATGCACAGACTCGCTACATCCCCTATAACAGTATGCCCCGTATACACACTCTCTACAGCTCCTAGCCACACATATTACAATACAAACACAAATGAAATTGACCTATTTACACAATACCACACCACACTCTACACACACGCAATCCCACAAGCAGGCGCCAAACACATGCACAATACGCTTTCCTGTCCCTTTTGTCCTCTTGTATCCCACTTATGGAGACACCAGAGACAATTTAAAAGCAAACACAGCGCAAGCATGTTATTAAATTTGCTTGCGCTGCGCAGAACAAGTACAGGGCCTTCAGTGGGGCACTGGGCATTGAACCAACATACTCACTTTGAGAGGGGGCATCCTTGTCATTAGTGATGACAAAACACACCCTCTCTGGCCCCGCCCCCTCCTCAGGGGGCTGCTGTGATTGAAAAATGCCCAGGCCGAATTTTTTTCCCAGCCCGGCCCTGCTGATGATGCCACCACAATGCGGCTGGATGTGGCGTTATACTTCTGGCTGCAAAATCTTTTTCTTCTGTATGTGCCGTGTTTCATGACAAATTCCATCAACACATCAAATCACTTTTGTGGACATGGTGCTTGGAATGACCTTTTAATGAAAAAGTGTTAATTTACAGACTACTAAAGGGGCAAGAATAAGGTCGGAAATTCCTTGGTCACAAGGGGATGAACCATTTGCTTGCTGGCTGCTTGTGCTGTTAGTGGTTAAATGCTGCAAATTTCTGTAGGATTTATTTGCAAATTTACTTTCTATCAGCTTACTCAGAGTAAATCTGGATTTAATTTAGTGCTTGATAAATATGTGAATCTTATCTTTTACATGTTACCTCCAAACACTTCAAATTGACAAAGAGAGACTTTAATTTTAGGGGTGTGAGTAGGGGTGCGGACAGGGGTGGGGCTGTTATGGGTGTGTGGCCATGGGGTGGGGCTGTTATGGGTGTGAGTGGGGGTGTGGCCATGGGGCGGGGTTGTTATGGGTGTGAGTGGGGGTGTGGCCATGGGGGGGGCTGTTATGGGTGGAGTGGGGGTGCCATGGGGTGGGGCTGTTATGGGTGTGAGTGGGGGTGTGGCCATGGGGTGGGGATGGGTGTGTTTGGAGGGGGGGGTGTGGCTGTTATGGGTGTGGGGGTGTGGCCATGGGGTGGGGCTGTTATGGGTGTGAGTGGGGGTGTGGCCATGGGGGGGGTTGTTATGGTGTGAGTAGGGGTGCGGCCAGGAACGGGTGGGGCTGTTATGGTGTGAGTGGGGTGTGGCTGTTATGGGTGTGAGGGGGTGTGGCCATGGGGCGGGGTTGTTATGGGTGTGAGTAGGGGTGCGGCCAGGGGACGGGGTGTGGCTGTTATGGGTGTGAGTGGGGGTGTGGTCATGGGGCAGGGTTGTTATGGGTGTGAGTAGGGGTGCGGCCAGGGGTGGGGCTGTTATGGGTGTGAGTGGGGGTGTGGCTGTACTGAGAAATTTTAGGTGACTTACTAATAACTATTTTTGCAAGTAAAATGTAATTAAGAACACAAACAATGCAGTTTATTTACAGACAGGTTTTTGAACACATTTATTACAGTTTATAGTGGGAGTAATATTTCTGTGCAGCTATGTTATACACTCAGACACACCAACAATATGGAGCTCCTGGGAAAGAGGGACGGAGGGATTTGGCCCGAAAATAGAGACTGTCCCTCTGAAATAGTGACACATGGGAGCTATGTATATGCAATTCTTACTTGAGAATTATAGAATGGTTTTATTTTTAGTGTGCATATGATTAGCATACATTCTTACCCTGTCCCAACAGCATTGGCAAGACAGTTAATGAGACAAAGGATTATAGGTACAATAGGCACAATTTTTCAATGTAGTGTAGAGTACAGGCTAAGCATAACATGTCTAGCTCAACTATTTAGTGAGAGATACTAAGCTACGCAAAGTCATAGACATGGTGATAAAAGTGTTAATGTATGTTGTGAAACATGCTTATGTTAGTGTGCAACTTGTATCCAGCCATGTGGTGTTAGAGTATGGCATAATCCTGCTGAGAGTAGGTATACATAAAACAAATAAATTAGAATGCAGCTAGGAACCAACAACTAAATAGTGTTAATTGGGATCAGCCATTAATTGTAATCATAGATAGCAATACTACAGAGTGTTATCCCTTAGAACTGGTATGGCTATGGGGAATCTGCTGATCCATCACAGATCCGCTCAGCCGATGCACCTGGATGGTAGGCAAGTGTCCCATACATGTTGCATGAGGTAGCTTAAGAGTCCAAGAGGAGGTCAATGGGGCAACAGGCTGAAGTGTGGAGATGTGCCGTGCTGCAGTGTTGGTGATCCCCCTGACATCACAGCCTCTCGGGGAGTTACAGGATATAGCCTCTGCTTATGCACGCCCGATGGTAGGTTGCGGTCGGCACGACATATTAGGAGTTGTTGCGGACGTTTCAGACATTTTCCAGTGCACCGTAGGTGGAGAGTTTTGGTCGAGAAGATGAGGTCACTAAGGGCTCAATGCTGCAGAGCGGGAGCCTCCCCCGTCCAACCGATTGTTAGGCCTCAATGGGATCCACCGGACAGGGGAGCTTTGGGCGCTCTATGGAAGCTGACAGCAGACTGCCAGGGTTGTTTGAGGGATAA